CCCAATGGCGCTTTCACACGGAAGCACATTATAGCAAATCACGAACTGATTTCGGGTCTAAACTCAGATCATGGGTCGAAATGGATGCGGCAAAGAAATAACTAAACGGTTGTTGAAAACATTGGGACAGCCGACTTGGGCGCTGCGCACCAATGTTTATTGGGTTTCAAATATTATACTTGCTGAACTCATTTAGTTTAAATATCCTCATCTAATTGACACCGGGCACGTGGTTATTCCAAATGAGCCACTTCATACCATTTGTCGTGTACTCATTAGACTGACAATATCTATCCAATGGCGTTGCTTGACTGCAGACGAGGCAGTCGCTGTACGTCTCATAAACCAGGTACTGTGCTGTCAAAAACATTTCGTACGAATGCTGAGTCTGCCTTGGTCGTGTGACGCGAATCAACCGGTCAAGTCACTCAAAGTCCCCCTAGAACTGTCCCACAGCATTCAATTAGATGCGACGTGGGGGCGTAGACAACTATTCGTTCACGTCTCCACGTTTTGCATTTCAATAACCAATCTTCACTGCGTCTTTTTGCTCCCATTTTATCCATTAGATATGCACTGACCTGATGACGAGATCCCGAAAACATTAATGTTCGTCACTGTGTTCTTGTGCAGCTACAGGTCGTTTAGGTCCTGTTTTGCTGACTAGCAGAAACAGCTTCCGTACTCTGCAAACAAGACTGACCTCGAACATCTCCTGGGACTTCCGGCTTCATCACGCCTCTGTCCACATGCAGGACACGTGGTAACTATCGTCTAGTGGATCATGCAACCGATTCACACTCTGAGCTTGAGGAAATGAAGGACCTTGCATCAAAAATTGATAACGGCCTACTGAGATCCAGTGATCCCCATGTACGTACTCGGAAACACCAAGAGCATAGCTCCAGGGGTAACGTATAGTCGTGGCAACCTCTCACCCTAGTTACAGTCAATCCCTCCCGAAGAGATCCCTTGTAAGATATTGGTATGTTCCTCTAGATTGCGGCTCGCTCAACTTTTCTGAACTTGGCAGCTCAATTCTCGGAAAGCTTAATGAAAAACTGCACAATACGCGAGGATCATTTGAATAGATGTACATTCAAAAACGGTCTGCAGTCGACGACTAAACCAAACAACTGCTATCTGATTGCGGCGTGGCCATTTTTACTCCATGACTGACCAGTAGTTGCAGGGATCCAGGTAGTAACCCGCCGTTCGCTGCTTTTGAGCTCGGTACGGCGGAAAAACAACTAATGATTAGCACAAAGGTGTAAAAGACGTCCGTTACTACCATTGGCTTTTGCATCCAGATTAAGCATTTTCGATAACGCAGGGAGCAGACGGTAATTTGAGCGGACTCTGACGATATTCTAACCCCAGTTACGTTGCCTGATTCCGACCCCTAGTAGAGCGGAATAGTAAGACGAACCCTTGAACATAACTTTAATGCTCTGAACAGGCGAAGAAAAGTGGAAGACATGCGTACAGTGATAACATTCTATTCCCTGCTATGTTTATTGATTCCGACTCCTAGCACGGCGAATAGTAAGAAGACGAAAAAACCTCGGACACCACTTTATTGACTCAAACAACACGTGACCAACAAGCGCCTCAACGAAAAATGACAATGCATATATATATAAATACATGTGTTCATAGGTTCACCATGAAAATGCTGGAAGTTCGTTAGCACACACAAAGGTAGTTTCTAGGGAAACTAACATCCACAATACCAAGGCCTATTTCTGATAGACTCAAGCATCTGAACTTCACATTGGAAAATCTTGCCATTATAACAATATCTGAACGTTTCGTGGTGGACAGAGAAGTGAATAGTTTTCGATAGAGAGGACCTTTCGAAGGAGCAGAGCCACAAAGAATCAGAGATAATGGGAACGACACGCGCATTTAACATTCCGACCAGTGCGAGTTTGAAAGGAAGGAAGGAAGGAAGCGTAGCACACATGCAGTTACCTATGGTATCGGCCCGGTAATGAAGTATGAACTAGTGAATCAGCAACCAAAACAACACCAGCGCGACCCACTGAAGCAGCAACATGATGACCAAGACTCTGTAGTCGACAGTATCTGGATAGATGACGGCCTTACACTGGCGACTGCTACCTCGTCGTTAGGCATTTCAGTCAATGACGTTGGGCGGGGACGCTAATCGTCCCTTCGTCTAAGCCGTACGCGCTGAGAATATCCCGGCCCAAGTACAACCATGGAGTGAACGATTAGAAACGACCTGAAGCGTACCGGCCGTCGCGCGATGCCACCAGCCGAGTCGCCTTACTTGCTGCATAGAGCAGGACGGGTAAGTGAGAGCATGCTTTTGCTGGCGCCCCCCTTCTCTTTCGTATATAAGTGCTCTTCCCTGAGGCTTTTGCTATCTATATATTCGTAGATTCATTCCTAAGGACTGGCGGATCCACTCAGCGCCCATTCCCGTTAGCTGAAATACCTATGCCTGGCTCGACCACCACAACTACAGGCACTCTGAAGCCACTCTTCGAACCTGGACGCCCAGTTCATGCGGCAGTCTTTAGCATTCGCACTTCGGACGACAGACGGCTCTCGCTTTCAGTTGATATGTGCTGCCTTTCAAGTGAGGATTGAAGACCGAAGTACAATTGTTGAACTGACCCCTCCATCGGCTTCTTCTTGCTTCCAGAATAGGCAGTGTTTCGCGCCATCGAGCTGAAGGTTCTTGTTCATTCCCGTTTCAGCTTTTCAGCTCACGAACCATGCACCGAAATCCGGTGCTTTCAGCTTGTTCAGTTTTGTTCACTGAAGATAAAGAGAATAAGGGAATAGTAGCCACGTGTTGGAAGCAATGGCCTAATCAGGTATGGGTCGTCTATGCTATGTTGAGAAATCTGTGGCGACAGGGCAGCATATTCCTGAATCCCATGAGTAGTGTGCGTCCGGCTACAGTACAGGTTTTGCTGAGATGTGGCCTCAACGAACAACGAAGCTGAGGCATATTCAGCTCTTTGACAACCAATCTCATGCACATAGCTGGTGTAGGCCCTGGTCTATGGTACGCAAAAGTACAGCTGGGAAACAAGTTTGGTTATGCAACACTCTATCACGCACTGAAAGCTGCGATGACCAGACATTGTATTGTGGGCGCCGAACCAACGTTTACCAGTGTTTCCGTGCCCATTTTAGGGTGGCGCTGACCTTTGACCTGGTGAAGGTGAAGAGAGATTACGGAAGGCTGGGTGCTGCCGAAGCGATTAGCCTTCTAGGGGTTGATCGAGCCCTACCGTGCATTGTTGGGAACGGCAACGGAGCATGTGTTGCCCAAACTCCAGTCGAAATCGGGCTCGATGTTGCGCTTATTCCGATCAAAAAGTCAAGCTAGGAGCTCCTTGAGATCCGGTACTGTCTCCCACCAGTTCCTCAGCTGCTTACAAATACAAATCGTGCACCTGTAATGGTCCTCTGGTGCCTACCTGCCATGCCACCGAAGGGAGCTCGAGCCCTACCGTGCATTGTTGGGAACGGCAACGGAGCATGTGTTGCCCAAACTCCAGTCGAAATCGGGCTCGATGTTGCGCTTATTCCGATCAAAAAGTCAAGCTAGGAGCTCCTTGAGATCCGGTACTGTCTCCCACCAGTTCCTCAGCTGCTTACAAATACAAATCGTGCACCTGTAATGGTCCTCTGGTGCCTACCTGCCATGCCACTCGAAGGGAGCACGAGGGCTGAGATACCGCTGCGTTATCCAACGCTGGCAGAAGCAGTCGAGATGCCAAGGTTTTGTTTCCGTTATATACCGATTATTTTAACACCGACATTTCCAAAGGAAGCTCTTCCCTCACAGACTTATCGCCAACCCCGCCTCATTCTAAGTGCACGTGGAGCATCAACACAGTGAACATAGTCTTTTTTGCTGGTATTCGCCACTTTCAATTCCACCCGCCATTTCATGCCCCACCCGGATTCATGCTTTTCACACCGCTCACCTTTCAATTGTTCCCCTCGTGGTCAGTCATTTTCAGACAACCCCTTACATGGATGTACCCTGATGTCCGAAAACGTTCCACCTTAGGATGACTGTTGCCTCACCCCATTCAGCAGAGCTGCGCTGCTCTTCACATCTGCACCATTGACCTCCAACTCAACCCCACCGTCGAGACGCCGCCGTCCTTCCACAGAGACACGGGATTATGGGGACACCAGAGCAAGCAGTTACCTTTCCAACCAGTCATGATAGTAGGTAACGTTTTTTGTGCCTCCTAAATGTATTCCTCGAGTCGCCCCTTAGTTCTCCCTTAGCCCGTAATCAATTGCGCGCGCAGTGCAGAGTAAACGATGCGAGCATAGTGACGAACTGCACCGCAACTATAAATGTTAATTTCCAGGAATCTTAAAAACAATGCGGCTGCTTAAAAATAGTAGACCACATGGAAACGGAAGAACAGCTGAAACATATTGCGTGAGTATTCATGGTGCAGCGTCCTACCGAGTAGTTCAGTAACCATCTTACTCGGTTACAACAATGGCTACATGCATCCACAGGAGGAAACTCAAGCATCCTTAAATCAACATGCGGTGTCACCATCTGCATCAGTTTTGTCGTATCGCACCCGATACCACACGCACCTACCAGGAGTGAAACAGCAGCAGGTGAGATCACCTAGGCGAAAACGATAAGTATTTGAAACACCAGGGAGGGGACCCATGCCGGAACCAGAGGCACAAAAGGCTAATTAATCATAGTCATATCCTAAATGGTCTGTTTAATCGTTTGAAAAGCTAACCTGGTGCCAAAGGAATGAAGACCTGTCTCGCTATAGAGGAGCTCAGGTAGCATAGATGAGCATATACGGTTTCCAGTTTCAACCCTCATGAATCTTTGGAAGTGGCGTCACGATTATGCTACGATCGGCATATGAGCACACACCGTACAGCGACTCCCACCTCCTTAGCATCCCGAAGACTTACGCAATCAAAAGCAACAAGCTCAGATGAAAACCTAAAGTCACCAAATTTGATAGACCAGTGGAACGTACATCTTTAACAGCTGAGTAACTATGCGGCTTCCATCCATACCTCCAAACAATATCACGTCTCTCTTCAGTTTACAACCAAAAATCTGGGATAAACGACCTTACCGGCATTAACCGATTGCACAAAAAACAGGAGCCAATCGAATACATTTATACAAGATAATGGGGCAACCGAATTATTCTGCAGCGGCTGCAGCTTGGCGAGCGCGTAGACGTTTGCCATAAAGGCGAGCGTTCGCACGATGCTGGCGGATAGCATGGAATGCGCTGTACTTTAGCTCCCGCGTCGTGGGTTTGTGGGCCTTGACGTTCTTTGCGCGTTGAGTAATTGGCAAAACGGGACCCTGGCGCTGTGTCGCCTTCTTGACTTCGTCCGCCTGTGAAATAAAAGCGTAAAGACAACGGAATCAACTAAATTCCATGATAGTGATAAAAAAAATGAGTAACCGTGTGAGGAGGAAAACCATTCGCCGCGAAGTCGTTTATCGGTAAACACCAACCAAACGATTGCAAACCATTAGACAGGTCAGTAAACATCTAATACGCACCTTATTTTAAAAAACAGCATCCTCACGCGTCTTGTTGAATTTTCGTGGATATTCAACGACTACCACGCAATTGGGAACGAACGCTTCAAAGCAGTTCCACAGTTCCGTAAAAAACCTCACCTTACATTAGACGCGAAGAGTTATGAGAAAAACACGCCACACTTGCCTGTCTCATCAGTAGTATCCGCCGTCACATCCGCAGTGTGCATCGGAAGACAACGTTATGCATCTGTATTCACCGACGAGCTTGAAAAGTGCACAAAAGCAAGAGTCAGACTGCCTCTTCTCCTTTGCCGAACCAGTTTTCAGGCCAAAACGCCCAGAACCGTATGCAGCCTTACGTATCGTTGACCAAGAACTGGACCGACAACAGGAGGCTGGTGTTCCCGAACCGACCAACTACTCTGCTTGGGCCGCACCTATCGAGTTGGTGAAGAAGGCTAATGGAACCATCCGGTTGTGTGCAGATTTGTCCACTGATCTCAACGCTGCACTGGATACCCATCAATATCCTCTGCCTCTTCCAGACGATTTGTTCGCGAAACTGAATGGGGGTAAATGCTTCGCGAACATTGACATAACCGATGAGTACCTCCAGGTTTAAGCTGCGGAAGAATCCCGACAGCTTCTCACGGTCTGTTCCAGTATACTCGACTGCCACTCATCAAAACAGCGCCAGTCATATTTAAACGGATCATGGATACGATGCTGAAGGATGCCCTCTGCGTTGCTGCCTATTCGCCACGAACTGTGACAACGCTTTGATTACGTGCTTGGTTGCATTCAAGAGTATGGCTTCAGAGTGCACCCAGAAAAACGCACGCACCTTTTCCATGCGGTCGATGAAGTGCCTTGATACCTTCTGTACCTTTGTACTGATTAACAAGTACTCCTCGGTTGTGCTGAATCCAGATGCCATTATCAGGTGTCTTTCCACCGATGAACGACCATGAAATCGGAGTGATCACGGCAGTAGCAAGCAATTACGAGGCTCCACATTCCACTGTCAACCATTAGTGGGACAAGATAAGGATCGCAATGCGCACGAAACCAGCCGATAAAATTATATATGGAGATCAGAACCATCAATATTGTCACATGAAGAACGTTGCATCCTTTCCGATGAGGGGCGTGATTCGACCAGAGGGGATGTTAGGGCACCACCTCAAGCAAAATGTGTGGTGAAATCCGACGGCTCTGGAGAAAAAAGCTTATCCAGTTGGCAATACCCGGAAACCTTCTTTACCCGGTCATTCAGCTGTAACACCGTCATGACTAATTAGACCATACCTTTGCATATACCATTAACTCGTAATACCCACTTCATATATTAGACGATTAAAGCGTACATTACATCCTCCTATTCTAATCTCGACCTGGAACTACTCGACTATCGCAACAGACCCTTTTGGTGCCTAACTCCCACACCACCTGGCATACGAAACGGGACTGAGTGTCACTGAGGAAATCGAGGACCATAATAAAAATTGAATATGCATCATTATCATCGGCAGTATGATATCAGCGTTCAACAATGATGCTTCGCTGCCGTACAACCATGAAAGCCTTATTGTGAAGGTGGACGGGAAGTGGACTCTGCTTGCTTAGTACAATCATTCCGAGGTGCTTACACCTCCAGACATTCACTCAGGCAATCTGGATAGAAACTGACAACAAGAACGCCACTGACATCGGTTGGCAGCTACATCTTGCAGTGTCTCCAACCAGGCGCATTGAGGATAACGCGGTCCGCATCCTGGAAGCACCCAAGCGCTTCGGAATCTCTTTCATACCCCTCTGCCAGGTCAAGGGTTGGTCACCTCTGCTTCCGCCACTCCGAACTGGACATGGAAACAGCACTCTCTTAATCAAACGATTGTTCGGCATACGCAACACATGTCCCAACCAACACAGCTTCTGGTGCTGAACACATTCTTTAATAGAAGTACCCGTTTCACAACCGACAACTCTTTGCACTTGCCTCGTTACGGATACACGGACTCCGACCCATACGAGCTAGGGTTCTGTCGAACGCCTGAGGACGTTTCAGTTTCGCTGCTGGAACAGGCCAAGTCTCACAGCCACACAAAAAACAGCCTGAACTTGCTAAACACGTCCTTTGGAATTCAGTAGTACACCACTTTGACGCCTGTGTCTCAAATTAACAAACGCCATCGGAGCCTTGCAGATTTGTGCGTTGACCTCATCTGTCATACTGAAATCAGAACTAATACAACTTCCAAGGTACGAAAACCCTCCACATCTTCCAGTACCTCTCCCTGGATTGTAAGTGGCTTGTTCAGTGACTGCATGTCCAGGAGCAGGATCATACACTTTGTGGGTGCAAAGAGCATAACAAAGCACTTCGGTATGACTTTGGTCAGTTCATCTAAAAACACTTGCGCCTTCTCCTCTCCGAAGATGAGAACGATATTGTCTGCATATTCCAGATCGACATGGTTTCCGTCACAAGTTGTTTGGACACCAGGGTTTCGGATACCTTACGGCGTTCGTCCCAGGATTTCATCGACCAAAAAGTTACATGGGAATGGAGAGGGGGCATCCCTGACGGACACCGCATTGTGTACGGAAGCCTATAAGGAGCTTGACGTATACCCTCACACGACCGGAATTCCGAGAGTACAAAGAGCTTGTTACGTTCACAAACTTCCCGGGCATTGCTTGGTGGGCAAGCGTGTCAAGAACAGACGGGTCAGCCGAATCGAATGTGTCTTGGAAATCCAGGAACACTAGAATCGTGGATCGCTTATATTTATGGCGTTGTTCTAGCGCCTGACGAAGTGTGAAGATTTGGACAACGCAACCACCACCAGGCCGGAATGCCGCTTGCTGCTCTCGAGTCAGTGCCTCACGATCCACCGTAAGGTGACGAAGCGCAAGTGACGCCAAAAGTCTCGCTACGACCAGGACCAAGCTTATTCTCCTGTGGTTGTCACACGCGCCCCTGTTTTGAAAATGGGTACCATCATCAACTCTATCCAGTTGTCTGGGACAGACTCCTTTTCCCAAATACAGGCAAACAAATCAAAAGCGCTGACTGAACACTTTATCATCATCTTTGAACAATGCGGATAGGAAGTTATCCGGACCCGAAGTTCGGTGGCGTTTCAGAGAACATATGCAGTCGTAAACTTCCGAGGCCGTAGGTGACTCCACGTTAAACGTCCAGGGTTTGACGTCAACTGTGGGCTTTAGATGAGTAGCAGCTAAGGGCCACGATAATTGTTGTTCTAATTATTCGGCTCGACGTTTGAGGTGTTCTTCTTTATTCAATACGGTCACTACTTTCGGATCCTTGACTGTTTCGCTCACAGGTGGCCTCCGGTGACCGATCGCACGGACCAACTGAAATAACCTTCGCGCGTTACTGGCCTTGTGGATCTCTTCCATTTCTTAGGGTTTCTGTGTCCGCCATACTTCAGCGTCGGCTCACACGCTCACTTTCACTTGACGTCTGATAATTCGTCTTACCAGGTTATGTTCGGGACGGGGTGGGATATTTTTCCCGAGATTTAAGCAGTGCCACTGTTCGATCTGATATCCGGTGCTCGATTGAGCCTGGTGGTGCTGTGCCACAGGCGAAATTCCCAGCACTATGCAAGGTGACAATCTCGTCTGTGTGAGTTTGGATCTGATGGGGGAGGGCTTTGAAGATTCTAGATGATTGTTGTTAAATTCGTCTAACAGGCGGATTTGCCAGTCTCTCAGTTGCCAAGCGATTTGTCCGCACCTTACGCGGCCCAGGAAGACATAGGAAGAAGCGACTCTGGAAGAGTGCGCGGTCGGCATCTACCAATGTGTTCAAAAACGACCGGCAGTCAGTTATTGAGCCGCGCCATCGATAACTGATGGTAGCGTGATCGATGAGTCTGTGATCGGCAGGCCGTTGGAGGACACCATGTGGTCAGACGACTTCGGCCATTTCGGAAGTTAGCACTGCATCAAAAGTGCGATCAGCACACAGCTGGAGCAATCGTTCCCCATTGTCCGTAAGTACCGCGTCCAATCCGTGTCGACCTCCCGAGTCTCAGATACACCACGTCTGCTCACTTGTGCGGTTAGCCCAACCACCGTGCTTGCATCATATATTCTTGTTACTAAGACACAGCACCCATCAATGCCAAGCGAGTCCAGTGTGAGAGCAAGAGCAGTTTATTGTCCTGTTTGCTTCAGATTGCGCACATTAAAGGCGGCCAGATAGACCGGGTATCAAGGCTTAAAGATAGATTTGGAGATATCTGAGGATGTCAGCGCCAAGTGACCAGCAGATGTTGTAAGACGAACGGAGTCCCAAGAGCTTGGCCTACAAGGAGAGTTATTAATGGGGTGGACGGAGAACAAAAAGCATGTGAGAGGAAGAATCGAGGCGTCAGGAGTAGCCTGGTTACGCTTACCCGCCTTGCTATGTGCAGCAGGGTGACCCGGCTGATAGCACTACGCGACGGCCGATGTGGCATGAGAGTATTGTTGGTGCCACAGTTGTGGGCTGGAAGTCAGGGCGCCCACACCCCGACAGGAGGACGATTAGGGTCCTCAACCAAAGCCTTTGGCTCCAAAGCCTAACTGCAACGTAGCGGTGTTTGGCGGGAAATGCAAATCCACTACCATTTCTAGGGAACAAGTCGCCACATTTTCCAATCCCCAAGAGAGTGTTTATCGGACCTCTAACCATTGACCAACCTGGCATGAGAGACTCAGTGAGTGTCCCGGGAACACCTCCCAGAATGGGCCAATGGGTCCCCGAGGTGCTCAAACCGTCACATCACCGTAAGGCCCACTCTCTTAGTGACGGCAGTCCAGTTGCCCCTCGCATCGGTTGACCCGCTCAATTCAGACTGCAATGTAGTTCTGAAGCACTATTGTGCATTGCTGCACTGAAATGCAGAACCAGAGGAGCTCCCATAGGTGAACTTGTCCTTTATTCGGTCAGGTCCAGACCAACTCGGGAACAATAAAGGACTTCAGCGAAATCGGGGTCAATCAATGCAAATGGAGCGACCGTAGCAATCATGCAGATATAAACCCTACCCGTTGTAACATGGCTACCAGCCCCATTGTATCTGTGACGTCTGACCTTAACACGCCAGTACGAAGGCATCAGGCGGGAATTCGATCACGCAGGGAGTACACTAGCCACCCAGCTATATTAGGTCAAGTGGATGAGCAGCGTGAACCAAACCGCCGATATACTATGGTGCTTTCATTGACTTGATCAAGGGACGCTGAGTTCATATCTTCACGTCATCCACTTCAATAACCCGGGCTTGAAGTAAGCTACCATAAAGCATCCATACAGCTAGCTTAGTTCTTCATGATTATTCCTTCCTTCATTCTGACATCACAAAGTGCACTTCTCAACCGATTACGAATTTAAGTAGCAAAATTCCATGGGGAATAGCGGGTACGATATCAAGCGTCCACAATAACTATTCTGAATAAACTATACGAAGTGGTCCACTTCCGTGATGCAATATACTTTAGGACCAAGCGGGAAGCCCAATTACGTTGACCATTTTCGCCACTGCATATTTATAGGAATCGGTGCAGGCATGAACAAAATACGGGTATCATTCGCTAATCCGTATCCCCTGTGGCATGAGAACCGAATGGTATTGAATTTAAAAAAACCATCTCTACAGAAAACCTACAGCAGTCCTAATCTTTGGCTTTGTAAACGTGGCCTGTAAGATTCACACAAAGCGAAGGATATACATTACAAGGTCAAGGAGCCTTACCTTGGCCTCCAAGGGTTGAAGCTTGGCAGGATTCTTCGGGAATAAGATGAGCCGCGCCTTGTAAGCCTTGAGACGGGCAACATTTCGCTGCAACCCTTCAACCGAAACGTTCCGTCGCCTGTGGTCGACAGATATCCCAACTGTGCGAGCAAATTTGGGAGTGAACCCAGCAGCCCGAACCTCCTGTAAGGAAAATCCACGCCCTGCTCGGACCTTCATGTTATAGCGCAATGTTGGGCAATTCACAATAGGCCGCAACGGACCTGAGGCTGGACGCGGAGCTATCTTCCGCGCCTTTGCTTTACGGGCAGCCCGGCGCCTTTCTTTGCGGGCGGGTTGATTGAACCATGTTTTTACCATCGACTGCCAGTGTTTTCTGAAGTGGTTACTGTGAAGGACATCATTTCCGTGGGGCATGTTGACGGAGCGGAAGAAACGACGGGCACGCGCCTGACGTGAGAAGTGGTCAGCTAAAACAAAGTGGATCGGATGGTCTGATAGTAGCCTGTTCTCTTCCTGAAACCGAAAGTGCAGAACATAAATTTGAAATCATAAAGCTTCAGCTTTTTGTCTTATTTTGACGCTTTATTCAGCAATGGAGCTCTAGCCACAACGCGTCAGCGCAATCAGTATTCGCACAATGGAATGAATTTTCAACAGCCGCGATGTGTCCGCCGATGGATTAGAGCAATAAGACAATTGAGTCCATAGCACCAGTCAAAACGTTTCAACCCCTTTCGGCATCTCAGGCACTCAGAGGTACCTGGAAAACATTCCACTGGACTTTTCCACCAGAGACATGATTGCTCCAGTGGACAGTGAAATTTGCTGGGCTGTAAGATCGTAAACGTAACCTAGGATGTTTTTTTGGTTTGAGCACGTAGGCAATAGAATTCAACATCTTTACGGGAAAAGTTTTATTCCGCTCTTAAAAGTCTTGCAGCTAAGAGCATTCTGCGGCTCATCGACCCCGCTCAGTATTAGCACATTGGAATTCAATTTTCGCAAGCTACGACGCATCCGACGGGCCCTTTGGCCTGACACTGCTCCTAGCTGCAAAACCTTTTCGAACGGAATAAAACGGTTCACGAGAAAATTGTGTATTTTGTTGGGTTTATGGTCGAAAAAAAACATTGTAAGTTACTCGCATGTTGTCGCGGATTACCAAATTTAATTGTACAGTGAAGCAATCACACCCCTGGCGAAAAAGTCTGGCGGAATATTTCCTAAGCATCGCTGAGCCCCCGTAATGCCTAAATAGTGTTCAAAAGTTTTGACTGGTACTTTGAACTCAATTGCCCAATTGCTTTAACCAATCGGGGACACGTCAGAGCTGTCGAAAATTCGCTTCCATTGTGCGATGACACTGATGTCCTCCCGTCCGACAGGAGGCGATATGTTGTTCGGGCCTACTCGTTAGGAATCACACGAAAGTAGAGGTACCGCTCGAGTAACAGCTTAAGCTGATTAAAATACTTACGCAGCTGGGGTTCCCGCTAATATTGTTACACCCGGTCCAGCGCCAGGCCAACAGGTTGACGCAGTTGCGAATAGCATGGCGGGTATAACTATGGCCCACACGTTGACGTGACGTTCGAGACATGGTTTCTCCTATACAGGACTTATCCTGAATCTTTCTTGCTGCGCAGGACGATGCATGGGAAGTTCGGCTCCTGTTTCATAAACCACGCCCGACAGAGGCGTACAAGTAATGCACCCTGGTTCAATACGCGGTACCGCTTTTTAACATTGGTTATAGAAGAATCAAATGGCCTCCGATGCACATTGGCGCTGTTCATCGTAAATTCGAACTTTTCAAATTTAATTCGCTAACCACTGACCAATTCGAACCCCTAATTTTCATATTCAGCCTTTGGTCTTAAATTCGCAGACATACGGACACGTCTTCTCAAACATCCTTGCGTGACCCTTCGCTGACGCCATTGGTGACGAGTAACAACGGTTGACCGACCAACAGCATGACACCACTTTGATCGAATCTGGGGGCAGAGGTAGTTCCGAAGTTCATGCGGTTCACCAAGCCTTGGAATTGGTTCTCAACATTGGCGCTGTTCATCGTAAATTCGAACTTTTCAAATTTAATTCGCTAACCACTGACCAATTCGAACCCCTAATTTTCATATTCAGCCTTTGGTCTTAAATTCGCAGACATACGGACACGTCTTCTCAAACATCCTTGCGTGACCCTTCGCTGACGCCATTGGTGACGAGTAACAACGGTTGACCGACCAACAGCATGACACCACTTTGATCGAATCTGGGGGCAGAGGTAGTTCCGAAGTTCATGCGGTTCACCAAGCCTTGGAATCTTCTGGTTCTCAAATATCTGACCCGTCTTCCTCTGGTCCATCGCGTTATTGAATTAGAGAATCTAGTTATCATTGTCCAAATAGAAAAAGCCCTCGTCCCCCTAGTAGCAGTACAGGGCCTGAAACGTCTTCAGATTTGCCCTCACAAACAATGTCAATGTCTACGATGCAAGGCCGTGGGTCAAGAAGACGGACACTTTACTATTATCGTACTGTTATTGCCATTACTACAATAACAACATACTATTAAATCGGAGAATGTTGGCACACACTTGGGCAACCTCTGGTCCAACGGTTCTCGGAAACTGAAACCAGTGCCTGTAGTGGGGATTTCGGGCTTTCCGGAGAATTGCAATGTTGCGGTCCATTCAAGGGAGTGACGCTCGCTCATTGGCGTGACCTCTGCCGCACTGCAGAGGTCCTCAATATATCGACCATTTTGGTTTGACAGACATCTAGATCAGCTCCGTCTACAATCCGGTGGCTCACCGCTTTACTGCACCACATTTATCCATTGATGTAATTTGGCGCCCTATTGAGGTTTTCAAATCGACCCTTAGTGGATTCGAACGGATGACACCACAGCTATTCGCCTCAATAAAAGTTTCGACAGGACTATAGCTAGGTTATAAAGAATCTCTACTGCGGAAGGCCCATCCGGACACCGTTGTTCCAGGGTAGGCCATGGAAGTGGGTAACGCAAACACTTAAAATGGGTAGAACAGCAACCAAAAACCAATCCATGGCACACTGATATTCAAGCCCTTAAGATTGGTGGCTCGTACAGATAAATGAAACGCAGTTCATCAGGTTTGGCACTCCACCTGGCCTACAATCTACAGCTCCGGGACCACCAAGCGGAACATGAAAACACTACAATCCCGTGTAGGCTTCGTTCCAGCTTGTTTCCACCACCAGGCTGAACTAAATACTGCTGCCCAACGAACCGCACACCCCCAGCTGAATCACCTTAAATGTGACGTCCGTCACGAGGCTGTACAAAAAGTGAAGCATGGCAGGCAATCATGGCACGGCACTGCCATACTCAGCTTGATAGCACTGTTGATTCCGCCTGCGAATCAACGGTGACCAGCGGTAACTTTCCTTGTTTTCTGACTACTCATGAGTAACGTGACTCGCATCTGTTTATTATGACACCGTTTCGTTTCTTTGCTCGTTTTCCCCTGTTTCGTCCCGGCTTAGGGTCTGCTTATGCCTCAGTAACTGATGTCAATACTTAATTTGCCCGTCCGTCATTGCTTGCAAGTTCGTCTGGATT